AAAAAAAAAAACAATCAAACAGATTAAGGAAGCAATTCAAACAGTTGAGGACCTGAAAATTGAAATAGAAACAATAAAGAAAACACAAGTTGAGGGAATACTGGAATTAGAAAGGCTGAGTAAACAATCAGGAACCACAGCAAGCATAACCAAAAGAACACAAGAGGTGGAAGACAGAGTCTCAGGCACTGAAGATAAACTAGAGGAAATAGATTCCTCAAGCAAAGAAAATCTTAAGTCCAACAAATCCTTAACACAAAATATCCAGGAATTATGTGACACCATGAAAAGACCAAACCTAAGAATAAAGGTATAGAAGAAGGCAAAGAAGTCCAGCTTAAAAGTGTAGTAAACATGTTCAACCAAAATCATAGAGGGAAATTTTTCCAACCTGAAGAAGGACATGCCTATGAAAGTACAAGAAGCTTACTGAACACCAAATAGACTGGACTAAAAAAAGTGCCCTTGCCACATAATAATCAAAATACCAAACATACATGATAAAGAAAGACTATTAAGAGCAGTGAAGGTAAAAAGCCAAGTACAATATAAACGCAGACCTATCAGAACTATTCCTGGCTTCTCCATAGAAATTCTGACAGCCAGGAGGTCCTATATTAATGTTCTACAAACATTAAGAGACCCCATATTCCAGCCCAGACTACTGTAACCAGCAAAACTCTCAATCACTATAGATGGTGAAAAGATGATATTCCATAACAAATCAAGATTGACGCAATATAGATCCACAAACCCAGCCCTACAAAAACTTCTAAAAGGAAAACTACCATCCAAGGAAGTTAACTACACTCACAAAACATAGGCAATATATAATCTCACTTTACCAAAAGCCAGAAATAGGGGGAAGACTCACACACAATACCACCACCAGAAACAAATACAAAACAAAAAAGAATCAGCAATCAGTAGTGTCCCCTTTTCCCCTCTGCTCTTCCTCCAGCACAATGTGATCCACCGGCAAGGAGGGACACCAATGGAAGGCGTCCGATAAGATAAGTCTTATGAAATATATAGATTTATGATAATTAAGACTGAGCTAACAGATGAGAATCCTAGTCATTGACCAAGCAGCATTTGAACCTAATACGAGTATCTGTGTATTAATTTGTGCCCTAACTCTGGCAGGCAGCTGGCGTAAAGCGCACACATAGCAGTGGGGCTCGTCAGCTTTTGGCAGAAAGATTTATGGTAACAGAATGGTGTCAGTGAGCGGGATGACCCCATGCCTCAAGGTTCCCAGAGGAAGAGGGAAACGTGCCACCACAGCCTGCCCTGTGAGGCTGATGAGAGGCATCCAAGCAGCTTCCATATGCTCGCGCCATCCCGGCACTCTTGAGGTTTGGACTCAGCACTCCCAAGATGATAAAGACAGATCCAGATAAAGAAAAATCTCTAAAGGTTTACACAGCATTTAAAAATATATGTAGGCAAAATTCAAAAGTGGGGTGCAGATCAAAATAGGGAATTCTCAACAGAGGAATCTGAAATGGCTGAAAGACACTTAAAGTGCTCAAAATCCTTGGCCATCAGAGAAATGCAACTCAAAACAATTCTGAGATACCACCTCACACCTGTCAGAATGGCTAAAATCAAAAATACCAATGACAATATATGCTGGAGAGGATGTGGAGAAAAAGGAACACTCCTCCATTGCTGGTGGGATTGCGAACTTGTAAGACCACTCTGGAAATCAGTATGGCTGTTGCTCAGAAAAATGGGAATCAGTCT